AGGCGCTTATGCCATGGAGCTGTATCCCCAGCCCCTGAATTTTTATTTTCAATAAATTAAAAATAACAGTAAAAGAAAAAAGATCGGGAACATTTCTCCATCCTGTGCTCAGCACTCTGACCACTGCTTAAGCACAGAAAGGACAAGCAGATGCTTAAGTCATCTGGTGTTTTATTGAACAGTTATTGAAGTTGTAAAGAAAGAAATTGGTAATCATTTAATTACACAATGTTAGGGCTGATGTTTAACTTTTCCTGTGAATATGAGAATCTGGGTTGGGAGTTTAACTCAGTGTAGAGTGTTTGCCCAACATACGCATAGGCCCTGAGTTGAATCTTAAAAAAAAAAAAAAAATCCATGACACCCTACTTTCAACATTATAGTCTTATATTGAATGAGATATGTGAACTATATAAACAATTTTTATATAAAATATACAAATAAGTACATATTTTAAACAGAGTTGGTAAGAGCCTATGAGTCTACTAAGATGCACATGTGAAATTATAATCTATACAGAAAATTATTTAGGACCAGGCATAGTGGATGTGCCTGTAGTCCCAGCATGCTATGAGGCCCAGGCAGGAGGATCACAACTTTGAGAGCAACCTAGGAAGTTTAGCAACTTTGTTAAAAAGATCCTGTCTCAAAGTAAAAGAATTTTAAAAACTGAGATGTAGCTCAGTATAAAGACCCTGGGAAAAATTTAAAAAAAAAAAATTAGGATTTTCCCAGAAAGATCTAAATAATGAGGTAAGACATTTAGTGGGTATATCAGTATAGTCCCAGTGCCCCACAGGAGCAGTTTTGCTTTTTTGAGACAGGCCTTGCTAGGTTGCTCAGCCTGGCCTTGATCTCACGTGGTAGCCCAGGCTGGCCTCCAGCTCAACAAGCAATCCTCCGGCCTCAGCCTTCTGAGTGCCGGGACTATGGGTGTGAGCTATCATGCCTGGCCCGCCCTGAGGACACTCTTAATGAACTCCCATACGGAGATAAATTCCATGATACTGTCAGATTTCCTACTTAAAATTCTTTCTGTATTAATCCCAAACTTCTGTTTTAGCAAAATAATGGCTAATCATTCAATGAATTCCCTTCTCTATAAAAAGAAATTTGTTTAAAAAACATACAAATTTGTAAGTCCTGAAATTAACTTAGAGTTTTGTAGTACTTAGTTCAGTCTTTCAATAAACACAAATTAACATATTTATGCAGGAGGATGAGATAGCTCAGGGGATTAAGCCACCAATTAACATATTTAAGCAGGAGGACAACATAGCTCAGCAGATTAAGGGCCTGCTTAGGCAAGTACAGGGAGCCAGGTTCAATCCCTGGTACCACATGCCTCGCCAGCCCCACCTGAAGTATGACACTGAGTCTGGGCATGGTGACGCACACGTGTGATCCCAGTGCTGGGGAGGCTGAGACGGGAGGATCACTATGACTCAGAGCTGGAGCTGCATAGCAACACCCTGTACCAAATACGTAAAAAAAAAAAAAAAAGAACATATTTAGCTACTTGGGAAGAGTAAGCTATTGACACTCTTCAGATTTAGATGGGAGGGTTTCAATTCTAGGAAGGGAGATCCCTAAATTCTTTCTGATTGACTCACACGTTCCCTGTCCAGGGTGGAGAGCGCTGATCCAGGGCTCGTCAGGGAGCTCATCCCTGAGCTGAACATTCAGCCCTGCCAGGACTGCATCAGTGTGACTGCGGCTTCTGTTCACTTTTTTTTTTTTGTATTTTAGGGAAGGGTCTACAGGGTGTTCAGGGTCTCACTACTGTATCAGACTCTTAGTGCTCTTCCTGTTTACAGCCTCCCAGGAGCTGGGATTACAGGTGTGCCACCACATCCAATCTCAATCCTGTCTCAGTGTGCCTCTGGGGTGGGGGTGGGGCTGATGCGCGCATGCGCTCGCGCACTCTCTCGCTCTGTATATCTGTATATATATGTATATGTATAGATATATGTTTGTGCATACGTGTGTGTGCCTTGGCAGGCCTGGGGGTCGAACCCCAAACCCCTATGCCTGCTTACAGGCGCTTTAACCTGCTAAGCTATTTGGCCGGCCCTAGTTTTTGTTAACTTTAAGCAGAGCTTTTTACAGATCTATCTATGCAAAGTGATCAAAGGCATAAAACAGAACTTTAAGCCAGGTGTGGAGGCACACAAATATAATCCCAGCAGTTGGGAGGCTGAGGCAGGAGGATCTTGAGAGTTCGAGACCAGCCTGGATTACAAAGTAAGCTCTAGGCCAGACTGAACTGTATAGCAAGACCCTATCTCAAAAAGACAAACAACAAAAGCCACCCCCCCAAAAAAACCCCAGAACTTCAAAGAAAGTAAAATATAGGCTTGTTATAATCAATCCTATGATGAGAAAAAGATTCAGAAATGAACATTTTCATTTTAAAATAAAATGAACTACAACTAGTATTTCGTATTTTCCCTTACACCTTTATGAGATACAAAATATACTTTTATAAACACTAAATCCTACCATAGAAAATGGTAGGAAAAACTTTTTCTTAGCCTTTCAGTATAAATAATTAATAAACTGATTATTTTCTCCCTGTAAATTCAGTCCATGCATTTGATTTTAGATAAAACACTTTAAAACACACTTTTGGAAAATAATAGGAACATGGAAATATAAAAACCTTTGAATTCTTACACTCCTTACCATTACGGAGTGTGAAAACATTACAAATTAAAATAAATTGTACAAGAATAGTAATGTGCAAGAGAAGAGGGAGGTTTTTGTTACATAGGCAATTAACAGTGGTTCAGACTTCACTTTTCAATTTATGTTATTTTCCTTCTTAAAAAACAAAACCAGGCAGCAGCCGGTCCTGTGGACTCGAACCCTCCCAGGGTCCTCTTCCGATGGTCCGGTGGGGCGGCCGCGCGGGTGTCGCAGTGCGGGCTGCGCGTGGGGGAGGGGGAGGTGAGCCTGTCCATGGCTCCTGCAGGCCTGGGCCACCAGCTGCAGCTGCTCAGGGGAAGGGCACCCGCGAGTGGAGCGGCATGCATCTCCGCTGGAGGCAGTTGTGCCTGTGCAGCTTTCTTCGCAGCACCAGATTAGCTGGTCTCTGTCCGTTGGTAAGGAGGAGAATCATCAAAAAAATGAAAAATACACAAAAAACTTGCCGAAACCTCATTTTTCTGCTGCAGGCGAGGGCAGCAATAGCTCTCGAAGTCACCCCAAAAGTCAGTGAGCAGCCTGTGCTTTAGCCGTGTAGCTGTCCTTGCATCCTAGTGATGAACTCAAGGGCTGAAAGATAGTTTTGCAGGATAGATCAGTCTGGGTTGGAATTAGTTTTCTTGCAAGACTTGAAGTACTTTGCTCCATGCTCTTCTTGACTTGATGGTTTGTGAAGAAAAATCTGCCGTTATCCTGGTGGGTTTTCCTTTAAATGTGATCTGTTTCTTTTCTTTAGCGGCTTTTAGTATACTGTTCCTATGCTGAATTTCTGGAATCTTGATTATTATGTGTCTGGGTGTGGTTTTCATTGTATTGATATTATTTGGAGTTCTATATGTTTCGGTTACAGGAATGTCAGATTGTTGCCCCATATTTGGGAAGTTTTCTGCTATTACTTCTGCCCATATTCTTTTTATATCATTTGTATTGACTCCTTCCTTCTCATTGATGCCTATTAGTCTCACATTGTTCATCTTTGCATCATCTTGCAGGTATTGAATTATTTTTTCCTGCATCCTAGTTGTTTGAAATAGATCTTTTCTTACTTTTTCATTAGCTGCAATGTTGTGTTTCAGGTCAGAAAGTCTGTTTTCACTTTCCCTCAAACGGTTTTCTCAGCTTGTGATTGAGGTTTTAATTTCCTGTATATCACTTTGAACCTGTTTCATAGATTCTATTTCTTTCCTAAATTGTTTATTCAGGGGTTCCATCATTTTTATATTCTCCTCTATTTTTTTGTCAGTGTATTCTTCAGAAACACTTAGTACTTCTTTGATTATAATTATCACTACATTTTTTAGTTCTGAAATTATTTCTGATCTGATTTCTTCTATACCTTTCTGCAGTTGATTCTTTACTGTCAATGCTATTATTTCAGAGATATCTGGCGTGAGATTTCCAGTTTCCTCAGTGCTAGTGTCTTCTGCATTTGTACTGGGTGGACTCGAGGCCTGAGACTGCATTTTGTTCCTTCTCTTTTCATTTTGTATACCTGTCTTCTGACCTTTGGTGTAGAGCCTAGATAGTTATTACGTTAGCACCAGGTCCGGATCTATGAAGTTCAGATTCTTCCAGGTGGGTGTTGTTTGGATCTGGCTGCTGTGCTCCACTTCTTTCTGCTGCAGGCGTTAGAGTTGAACCCTTTGTGTCACTCTGGCAAGATGTTCTGTTGCTGAATCAGCTGGGTGGGTCTTGCCTCTAGCCTCTTTGCAGGGAGTTCTGCTGAAGGGTTCCATGCTGGGACTGCACTCTTTGTCGATGAGGATCCGTGGGTCCTGGGTCGTCTCACTCACTGTCCGGGCCTGCACTCCGGGTCCATTCGGGATCCCGCCGGCCCCGTGTTATCTCACTCACTCCTCGGGCCTGCGCTCTTAGTCCACCCTTGCCCATTTTTAACACTTTTAAAGAAGAAATCCTTATTAATCCCATATATAGAAATGGTAGTTTATTCTAACTTATTGCTCTAGGTTTAATAAGGTTTGAACTGAGTATTTTCTGCAGTTTAGGCATTTGCATTTCTTATTTATGTCTGTTAAGCTGTTGCTGAATGATTTTAAAGAGTTCCTTATAATTTTGGATCAACTCAACAGATAGTACTACGGTTTTGTAAGGCAGTCATTTGGACAAGTTAGTTAAATAGTCACATTTAAAAAGTAGTTTGGGACCAGGGGGATGGATAGCTTGGCTGTCTGAGCACCTCTCTGACAAGAGCAAGGACCCAGGTTTGATCCCTAGTACTGCATGCCATGCCAGCCACTTGTGGAGTTGGCCACTGAAACTGGGCATGGTGGCGCATGCCTGTAATCTCAGCTGGGGAGGCTGCGACTGGATCACAGCGACTGGATCATGAGTCTGAGCTGCATAGTGAGACCCTCTACCAAAGAAAGAAAGAAAATAAAAAGAAAGAGAAAGAAAGAAAGAAAGAAAGAAAGAAAGAAAGAAAGAAAGAAAGAAAGAAAGTTAAATAAAGATACAGTAGTTTGGCTTTTAATATGTATGTAAATTTGATTTAAAAAAAATTTTTTTTTTGCTGTACTGGGGATTGAACTCAGGACCTTGCACTTGCTAGGCAAGTGCTTATTCTACTGAGCTATCTCCCTGGTCCTTAAATTTGAATATTAAATATGCATAAATGTGTCTGTTACTTGAAAGTGTGGAAATAATTTTTACCTATAGTTTCTTTATTATGTAATGCTTAATTTTATAATGTTTAACATTTAACTTTAACTTATAATTTTTTTAAAATTTATTTTATTTGTTTATTTATTTATTTTGTGTGTGTGTGTGGCCAGTTCAGCCCACCAGGGGGCAGGGCTGGCTGGCATGTGGTGCTGGGGATTGAACCGCGGTCCCTATGCTTTTGCTTAGCTTAGCTTGTTCTAAGTAGGTGCTTTAGACCACTGAGCCATCTCACCAGGCCCTTTAACTTATAATTTTAAAAAGCAAAAAAATCATTTGGACATGGTGGTGCATGCCTGTAATCCCAGGACTGTCAGAGCCCAAGGCAGGAAGATGGGGAATTTAAATCAGCCTGAGCAACTAACAGCTTCACCAGTTTCAAAAAACAAAATGAAAAAAAAAAAAAAAACCAAAACTTTATTTCTCATGAAAATATTTTAAAGTAATTCATGCTAATTTTAGGAAAATTAGAAAACAAATGGATGAACAAACTAAAATTATCTATAACTATATAATGATCTATCTATAATGATGACCATTATTAACCTTTCTATTTTGGAGTTTTTCCTTTTCTTTTTTCCCCTTTTATATGATGTCATTTATATTTATTATTGATTCCTTTATCCTGTAGTAGAGTCTATTTATCTTGATCTACTTATCTTGTATCATTTTTCTATCCTTAACCAAAACACTACCCATTTGATTGTTTAGGTTTTACAGTATCTCTTAATGCAAGGAGGTCACACAGTGCTGGTCTGGAAGCTCCCAGCCACATGTCAGTCAGGGGGACTCAGCTTTCCTTAGATGCCTATGTTGCTCTTCTACTTTCATCTCTTCTGGTCTCTGTACAATGTCACCTTATTAGTGTGGTTTTTTCCCCTGACCACCCAGTTAGGCATGTAACTTCTCTTTTCCTCCTTGGTAATCTCTGTTCTCCTTTTTTCATATATATATATATATATATATATATATATATATCATATACATACACATGATATGACATATATATAAATATATGTACATAGACACACTTATATAACTTCGTTTTGCATATTGTCTGCTTCTCCATACGCAAGGTAAGTTCCATGTACACAGGGATTTTTGTGTTCTTTCGTATACAGCTATAGCCTCTGTATAGAACAGTGCCTGGCATCTACTCAAGTATTCAATAAATACATACTGCAAACATGAATAGAAAGGAAACTCCAAGAAAGGAAGCTCCTCCTTTCCCATTACATTTTTTCTTTTTAAACAATTTTTTTTGATTAAAAAAATTTTGTTTTATGTATTTGGTACAGGGTCTCACTGTGCAGCTCGAACTCCAGTGACCCTCCTGTTTCCAGCCTCCCCAGCGCTGGGATTGCTGGGGGGCACCACCATGGTCCCGGGGGCAGGCCGGCACCTTTCCCATTACTTTCATTTTGGCTTCATACATTCATTTCTGATTGCCCACACAATACTGTCTTGCTTCTGGTTTCTCCAGACATCGAGACATTGCAAGTTAATGTAGAAATACTCCTTTCTGTGCTTACTTCTCATGCAATAAAGGGACAGCCTCACTTCAATGCTTGTTCATTCGAATTCTTCTCTGACTTCTAAAGATTGCTAGCTGAGTTTCTTTTTGTCTGCCTACGTTTTTCTCAGTTGATTCTGTTACTCTCGCCATGTGTAGTGTTTAGTTCTGCTTGCTAGATCTGAGGCTCTTATTGTCCTTTTGTTTTAATCCTTAGTTTCCTCCGTTATTTTGAAAAATAATTTCCAAAGCAGCCTACATGTTGTTTATGTTGTTGAGTATGTTTCAAGCTATATAAAGAGAGCAACTAATTTTCCCCTTCTAGTCCCTAAGATAACCCATAGCAAATGCACGTGTGGATCCTTACACAATTTCCTGGACTCATACAGCTCTTCAGATCTTACATTTATATTTATTTTTAAAACGTTTAGTACTACATCCAGTACATATTACACTGCAGTTTCTTTTTATCATTTTTGTTGATGTGTACTTCACATAACCATGAAATTCCTCTATGATGTGTACTACTCAGTAATTTTTAGTAAACACACACAGTTGCATAGCCATCATGGCCATTCAATTGTAAGACTTCTATCATTCCAAAACATATTTCTTTATGCTCAATTGCAGGTAATGCCTATTCACATCCTGGCTTCCGAAACTAATAATCTGCTATTTGTTTATTTATTTATTTGTTTTGCTATAATTTTACTTTTTGTAGAAATTTCATTTAGGGCTGGAATATATAGCTCAGTGTCATAGCACCTGCCTGGCAGGCACAAAGTTGTGATTTGTTAATTTTCATTTCTGATTTTTTTTTTTTTTTGGTATAAACATCTGTCTACACATTCTCCTCTATGTGTCGATCTCGTTTCATTTTTTCTTGGATGAATATAAGGAATACAATTTCTGAGCTTTGTGCTAAAGGTTTTTAAGAAACTCAACGGTCTGGAAAATTTCAAAGGGAAATTAGAAAGCTCAAGTTTGATGAGCCCCTCGAAAAGTCAGTTCGGAGCTGTTTAAAGACAATTAGAAATTGAGGCACCTGAGAGATGTTGGAGCAGGCGCTAGACGATTGCGGGCCTTGCACGGCAGCGGGACAATGAAGCCCTGTGAATAGATGAGACCTGCAGACAATTTATGTAATAGAAGCTCGAACCCTTGGAGACAAGAGCGCTTGGGATGACCAGGCTGAGAAAGAAGACGTAGTTAGAAGATGTGAACAATCAAAAGGTAGAGGGAGAGCCAGAGGAAACTGCCACGGAAACCAGAGAGAGGCAACGTGACACGTTTCTTCATGATCTGCGCCCTGGAAGCGGGCCTCTGTGTCAGGTGCTCGCCAGAGAACTCCTCCTGCCGCTGTTTTCTCC